TGTAGTTTGGAGCAGTTGGGATAATGGTGGGAGGGGATTCCTCTCCTGCAGTCCGGCCCGTTCTCTTGGTGATGTTTGAAAGCTTCAGCAATGTGTTGGTGGCTTTGACCAGCAGAGTTTTCCTCCCCTGTCTCGCAGGCCGCCTGAACATCACTTACCCCATGCTGTTCAAGCTGACCAACAAGAACTCGGACCGCATGACGCACTGCGGCGTGCTCGAGTTCGTGGCTGACGAGGGCATTTGTTACCTGCCCCACTGGGTGAGCTGCTCCTGCTGCACTGACACAACCTCAGCAGCAGCATTCGCAACTTGCCAGTTTAATAGTAAAGAAGTGCAGTGTTTCCTGAATGTGTCATGTTCCAGCAGCTTTCAGTCCCAGCTCAGGTTTCCCTCCTCGAGGGGTTAACTAAGTAAAGCAGCCTGTGTTTAAGGTGCACCTGGCTGTTGTTCCTGAAGTGAAAATGGGGTAAACAGGTGCATGTCAAGGAAGATGGTGGCCCCAGCAAAACTAGATATGCACAAAGAAAGAGATTTGAAAACATCAGACATACTGACAGTGGTTTGTATCTTTGTTTCCATTCTTGCAGATGATGCAGAACTTGCTGCTGGAAGAAGGAGGCCTGGTGCAAGTGGAGAGTGTTAATCTGCAGGTTGCTACTTACTCAAAATTTCAGCCACAGAGTCCAGATTTTCTTGACATCACCAATCCCAAAGCTGTGTATCCTTCCTATTTGATGATGGAAAAAGATTTTTCTCCCAAATTGGAACAATCAGGCAGAGCTAACTTTCCAGGTGGGGCTCATACTCTTCTGTTAGTAGGTGACTACTGCTGCTCCTTCTGAAAACAAAAGGGATGGAGAGCTGTTGTACAGAGATGTGGCCAGCTGCTGGCACAAAGTGTGGCCTGGAGTGAAGCAGCAGGAATCTTGGCTTAAAAGTCCAATGAATTTTGAGTGTCCCTTTGAAGAACTCATACACCCTAATGTTTACTAAAAGGCTACCTCTGGTGCTGATGATTTTTAAACCATGTTTGAGGATCAGAGGTCTATAATACAGTAACTTTAAAGCTTTGATGTTGCCTTGAATACAAGTCTTTCATCTTAACGTGCTCTGAAGATTAGAAAATGCATTGAGAAACTTTGCCTGTCTGACGACTGGGGATGTTATTGCCATCAACTACAATGAAAAGGTACAGTAGAGGATTGAGGGTTGTGGACTAAGTTCAGCTGTTGGATGTTGGTGCTAAAACAGTCAACCCAGAGCTGTGCAGTGTTGTTGAGAAGTAATTCCAAATGGGAGATTTCGCAGTGGGTTTTTTGTTGGAGGGGAAAAGGGGTCATTTAAGCCTTTCCCTGAACTGCTGTTTAAACTTTCTTTTGACTCACAAGAAAATAAACCTTTGCACTGTTAAAGTTTTTACAAGCCAAGGGACAGAATTTATCCTAATTTGTTTTCAAAAGTGCAGATTAAAGTACAGTGAGAGTGCAGCCAGGTACAGTAATAGGTAGGTTCTCTCGGTTCTGAGTTAAAAACCTTTGCTCTTAAGTTCTGTAGAGACCCTGCAGTATCCAGTCCTCAACCTAGAGCACTTACTGCAGTTCTTGAAGCTGTTTGAAGGGAAGGGCTTGTATGTGCTTTCTTATACATAAAGTTGAGCTTTTTCCTGTGCAGTGCTAAAATAGCCATTCGTGTTTCAGATCTACGAGCTGCGGGTGATGGAGACCAAACCGGATAAGGCCGTGTCCATCATCGAGTGTGACATGAATGTAAGTGACAGCTGATGGGGAAGGTCTGCCCTGACTGTGTCCTCTTGGGGCAGGGATAGTGCTGTACCTCCAGCACCTCTGTGCTGCAAAACAGGTACAAGCAGATGGGTGGGGACGATGACTCATTTGAGAGGACTCCACGTGCCTTTGTAACCACATCCGTGGTCTAGAGTGGCACTTCATGTACCATCAGGTGACTAGTGCCTCGAATTTAATGGTTAGCTTCAATGTGTTTTATCTGGGTTTTATTCAATAGCCTGTTCTTGACTCAGACTCCAGTGATACTGTGGTGCTGCTTTACTGCTCTGTTTCGATTACATGCTAAGGCTCATTCCTGGGAGGCTTAGTCTTTTTTTAGTTTTGAGTTAAAACATTCAACAAACAAACCTCAGCTCTTTCTAGATCAAATGTAGTCATGATAGTTTGTGGAGTTTGGAGGAATAGTAGTATAAAGCTTATGATTAAAAGAAAAATATTAACCGCATTTATTTTCATGCTTTTTGTGTAAATAGGTGGATTTTGATGCTCCTTTGGGGTACAAAGAACCAGAAAGAAGTGCACAACACGAAGAGAGCACAGTAGGTTACGCTTCTGTTCTTCCAAAATGTATTTCCTAGAAGTCAGCATTGCTTGTGGGGAAGCAGTGAGCCCCAACATAATTTTTTTTTTCCTGAAACAAGTTCTTAAGGTTAAAATTGACTTACCAGGAGCTTTTGCATGTGTTACTTAGGAGATGGTTGTTTACCAACTGTTGGTTTTGGAAAGGGATTGTTCTGAAGTTTTGTTTGGTCAGAAGTATGTGGGACTGTTTCCACATGTTGTGTGTGTACAACATGAGCACAATGAACTCCATTGTTTTCTCCCTCCCAGGATGTGGAAGCAGACCATAGTGGATATGTGAGTGACATAGGATTTCGTGTAAGTCCCCTATTTCTGCTGGTTTCTGAATGTTGTAGAATGGCGAGGGAAAGTTGTTTCAAACAACTGCAGAATACTAATATCTGTCCTGAGAGGCAACTGTCATTTAACTAGTGAGTATCTGCAAGTGTTTTATGGTGATTGCAACCAGGACCTGGATGACTTGCTGTCTGTAAATGGGAGACCGAAACATACCCCTGCACCCAGGGCCCATCAGCTTATATGCACCAAAAAGAAACATGCTGAATCAAGTAACTAAATAAAAATGACTGTGAGATTGTAAAGAATATAGTGTCCCTGTGCACTGAACTTTCAAATACAAAAGTTAAATGAAAACTCATTATGTATCCATAGGCATTCTCCGGTTCTGGGAACAGACTGGATGGCAAGAAGAAAGGTGTGGAGCCTAGTCCCTCACCAATTAAACCAGGAGACATCCGAAGGTATGTTTCATTCACTTGTCAGCAACTGAAGAATCAGTGTTTGAGTAGAGTTTTAGGTTTTTTTTCCTGCTCTTGCAATATAAACAAACTAATTTCATCATAAACTTGCCTTTAGAAAATAAATGGTCTTATCCACAGGCCCCAAGGAAACATGGCCCTGGCCAAGCTTCCACAGCAACTCCAGTATTTGGTTATTTACCTCATGCAATGTATGAACCTTCAGAAAATAATTCAGTGGTTTAACTCTGGAATTATTTAGTAATGGAAATATGCAGTGAGTGTTGGTACAACACTGACAGACATGGAACAGGTCTCGCTGTGTTCAATTCCGTGGTAGGTATAAAACTTCTTTCATAATATTTTTATGCTTCTTTTCCAGAGGAATTCCTAACTATGACTTCAAGATTGGTAGAATCACATTCATTAGAAACTCACGTCCACTGGTAAAGAAAGTCGAAGAGGTAAATAAAATTGAGTGCTCCTAGTCTTGCACAGAATTAGAACATTAGAACTATGGCCCAAGTTTGTGGTTCCTCTCCCCATAGTTGATTTTCGCAGCATTCTTCTGTTAAAAAGTGGTAGCAGTTAACTGGTGTGAGTTATGTGAAAGCAACCTCTGGTGTCCTTGTTACTGATGTAAAAAGGTGGGCCTGGTGTGTAATGAGCCAGTGCACCTTCATTTCAGGTGGCTGCAAGGCCGCCAAAGTACTCCTATTTTGTTTTCAGGAAAAAAGTGTTAATGTCTAGATTAAGGATGGGAAATGTCTGCAGTCAGTGGCTGCTCTGATGGAATGTTCTTGCCAATGATCGTTCAGCTTTCATCACACACAAGCACTGAGCAAAGAGGTAACAACCTTTTTTCCCTCTTTCCTTTCTCCAGGATGAATCTGGAAGCCGGTTTATTGCCTTTTCAGGAGAAGGCCAGTCCCTGCGCAAAAAGGGAAGGAAGCCCTAGGCTGTGGTACCTTCAGTTAGTTAGGAGGAAAATAAAGTAACAGTTGCAGCATATTGGATCTTAGTTATTGCAGTTGAGAGGAGAGATCGTTTTGCAACATAGGAAGCCTCTTACTGGTTTTGGTTTCATGTTTAAAACCGGAGCTGTCAGACTGTCTTAATTTTCAGATAAAAATTGAGTCCTGGGAATTTGGAAGGAGCTTTTTGTATGTGTTGTAAAGAGGTGAATGTAGATCTCTGATTAACCTGAGAAGTAAAAGTAACAAGCTCTACCTTACTAAAGATCCAGTTCTTAGACTACATCCTCCTCTCCTATCCTGAGTGATGATGGTCTCATGTCACTCTTTGCTTGGTATTTTCCTCCCTCTATGTATCATTTTACCACAATTTCAGGTAAGCTTTTTTGGTGTGGTGCAGGTGAAGGCTGACACTTTGGTGTTTAGGACTTTTGTGCAGGGAGTCTCCTTGAGCTTTAGCTTCAGGTGTTGGGTTCTCAACCACTTTAAGCAAACCCCCTGTAAGTGCTTTTTATATTTATAATTATTAACATGCCTTTTAATAGTTCAGATACTATAACGTAGCAATCTAATGGCAGGTGTAGGGAGAGGCAAGACCCAGCTGCGCTGCCCTGCTTTGGAACGGCCGTGTGGGTGTCACCCGAGGGTACGCGGGGGCAACCTCTGCGCTGTGCTGAAAGTAAAGGACCCTGGTAACCAGCCGCGTCCCTGTGTGGTGATTTCGGACAGAGCGAAGCGGGGCCTCCTTCCCGCCGCGTCCCGGCTCGCTGTGAGGGGCCGCTGCTCACGCGCCGCCCGCCGGGCAGCCATTGGCTCGCCGGCCTGGGGCCGCTTTGTGCCGCCCCTCGCCATTGGCCGCGCCCTCGTGTGTCGCCGTAAGCGCGGCGGCCATTGGCGGAGGCGCGGCATGGCGGACGCGGGCGGCTCGTGGCGGGTGAGGGGGCGCGGGGCCGGGTGAGGGGGCGCGGGGCTCGGCTGGGCTCGGCTCCGCTCAGCCCGGCCCTGTGTCCGCCCGCAGCCGCCGCGGCCGTGCGAGGACTACTGGGGGGAGTGGAAGCACTGCCGCGGGCTGCGCCATGCCTTCCACCACTACTACGCGCACGGGGAGCTGCCGGCCTGCGGGCGCTGGCGGGAGGACTACGAGGCCTGCCGGGCCTGGGAGCGGCACCGCGCCGCCGCCGCGCAGGTACCGCCCGGGGCTGCTGCGGCTGCGGGGAGGGCTTGGGAAAGCGGGTGGGTAGGATTGTCTTGACATCCGCTTAAGGATCCAGGGAGCATTTTCAGTGTTCTGCTGCAAAGCCCTTGATTTCAGTTACTGTGACATTCCCTTCCTGATAGGAAAAGCTGCGACGCTACAGGCAAAACGTATACCTGCGGTGTCCAGAAATGCCTGTGGCTACAGCCCCACAGACGCTGGAGGACTCGGGCCCTGCAGCAAAGGCTACAGCGTAACTCGTCCCTGCAGCCAGGCAGGAAAGCCCTTGGCGGGGAGGGTTGCACAGAACTGGTAGTTCTCTTCGTAATGCAGGAGTCACAGGCAAAATATGACTTAGTTAAAAACCTGTATCCTGGCTTACTTAGATAGCATTTGGCACTTCTGTTTAAGCATGATAAATTTCTTTTTCGTCTTTTATCTCAGATAGTCACAACAGGAAGTGGGCTCTGTAGGACTGGAATATCCAACACTATCATGGTCATATTTTTCCTCTATTTCAGGAAGCTTTGTGCAAGAGTGAAAGAGCTCGAGTGATGGAAAGCCAGAAGTATGCTCCGGTGTGGACACTCAGGAAAAGCCCCCCACCAGACTGGTATCTACCCCTTGACCAGGACAAACCAAATTAGGAAGGTTGTTTGCTGTGTTTGGTCAGTAACTTAATACACAATTCAGAACTGTGCTGCCTTTTTTTTCTTCCATGTCATCTTGAAGTTATACAACTGTAGCTCTGCCCTGCAATACTTGAGCACTCTTTCAAAAGTACTGAGAGTTTATTTAAATGCTGAGTATTTTTTAAAGGGAGAGTTGAGGTGCTTAATTTGTCTTGTATTGCTATCTTACACTTTAGGATCTTGTCTCAGCAACTCAGCAGGCAACTCCCAAATTAATCCACACATGATCCAGCTCCTCTTGCTAGATCAGGGCCTCTTCCCCTACCAGCTGGTGGTGTGCACTTTTGGAACAAGGTACCAACCCCAGGCCTGCAAATGGGAAAAAAAACAAGCTGGGAATCCTCCCTCCTGTTCAGGACAATCCCAACCACTGGCATTTAAAAGGCATTTCCCAGAACAGGATTGTTGTGGGTTAAGAGCTTCTCACCTGATGGGGAGGTGCTGCAGATCCTGAAACTGCCCCTTTGTGGAACTACTCTTGAATGATGGTGTGTGTTGTGGTAGTATTCAAAACTACTACAAAAATAAAGGTTTAAACAAATGTAGAGAGAGATCTGGTTTGGTTTAGGGCAAACCCATGGAAACTTGGTTCCACGAGTTATGTGGCAATATAATAAAATAAAAAAACTGGCTTTGTCGCTGGGTAAGGTTGTGTAGCTTGGCTGGGTGTCTTACTACCTGGATAACTGCTAAAAACATCCAAACACACAGATACTTCACTAATGTTTTATTTACAGTCACACACCTGCAGCATTGTAACCTGCAGGAAGAATTGTGTGTTCTTTCTCCCTTCAGCCCTCCCTTCCTTCCTTCAGTTGCCAAGCAGCTCCTGGCGGGTGCCCCACGCCCTCCTCCCTCACTGTGTGTACACCTTGGTGATATCAACGCACTTTCCCTCGGGTGGGTCGTAGCCAGGAAGGGGGGGGGTGTAGGTGGGTCCATCCCTCTGGAAGGGGAGCAGCCCCTCATCCCGTCGGATGGCTGCCTGGTACAGCTCCTCCGATTCCAGGCGCAGTTCCTTTAGTGCCTCTTGCTGAGATTCCACAAGGCGCTGAATTCCTTTCTTTTCTGCCTCATCTTGCTTCTGCTTAAACAAACACCACTTCTTCAGAAGTAAAACTCTTCTTTCAGTCTCTTCAGGAGACAGAGCGGGAAGGCTTCGCACCCTGGCAAAGAGTGGGGTAACATTGTGAGAGACAAACAGCCTGACTTCAAAGACCAAATCAAAAAAATCAACCCACTAAAACAACAACACAACCACCAAACCCAGAGAATACATTTAGTTTACTAATAATTTAGTCTGTCTGCAAGGACACCCCAGTCATTCTAACAGGAAATTCATGTTACTGTTTTTTCATTACTTTTAGCAAGAACAAATAAAATTTCCTTTTCACGTTTTTGTCCTTATGGAAGTGGATAAGGTTTTGTACCAAGGCTGGCTGCAGTTGTGCAGAGAAAGAAATTCACTGCAAATGCAGGCATGTGGTAAAACCAGAGCCACTGACCTGTTGCTGTCTGAGTACTTGAGTGGGGTTATAAAATCCTCAATGGGAATCAGTTCTGGGGCAGCTTTTTCCAACTTCTTAAGCTTCTTTTTCATACGATCCTTCTGTGCTTGCTCTCTCCTCACATCCACTTTCTTCTTCTTCTTTGGTTGTGCTCTACAAGGGAAATAGTAAATAAAAAAAGTATTTTGTCCTTTGGTTCAACACCAGCAACTTTCACTTTAGTTTTCCAAGGACTGTTCCTTCCCATTGCTTAATTTAGTCCCTAACAGAAGTTCCAGCCATGAACTTTATTCAAGTAGTGGAATTTCCAGTTAAACATGCACAGGTAAAGGTTAATTTGGACTTGAGAAGATTTGTGTTCCCTGCGCTTGAGAACACTGCTCTAACTCCAAGGCAGCTGCACTCACCTCACGGGGAGGGATGTCCTGAGGGTCAGCACAGAGCTCTGCCAGTGACTCCCTCGGAGCGGGCCCCTCTGGGGCAGCCACGAGCTGCAGGAGGAACAGGAACATAAAGCGTGAGGAGAAACCGACTCTGGTGGCACAAGAGCTACTTGTTAGTCAGGAGTGAGTGATGAGCTTTGAACCATCTCAACTCTGGGCAGGATCCAGCGTTTGCCCAGAGATGACCTCGAACTCTCCAGCGAGGTCACTGAACCCAAACCCAGGCTGGGCGGTGTTGTGCGCCCACAGGATACCGAGGAGCAAAACACAGACTTTTTTTTAGGTAGATTACAGTAACTTTAAGCTCTGGCAATGGCTCGTTTAAGGTGTCGGTCTGTGAGAGACAAAAGCACCGCCGTTCGGATTAGGAGACATGTTACTCAGATCTCGGCAGTGTCATGGGAGGGCGAACCAGGTGCCCGCGCACCTGCTCCTCCTGGTGCGGGAGTCCGGGGCAGGCCCGGCCCGCCGAGGGACTCTGGGCGGGAAGCAGCCCCGAGGCGCGGCTGGAGCGGGCTCAGCAGGCACCGCGGGCACGGGGCACTGCCTGGGCTCCCTCCCCGCGGCCCCGGGGGCGGTACCGGGTCCCCCTGGGGGCGGTACCGGGTCCCCCCGGGGCGGTGCCGCGTCCCCCCGCCCGTACCTGGCCTGGGCCCCACGCAGCCCTCGCGCCGCCGCCGCCACCGCCCACATGGCCCCGCGGTGCTCCCGCGGCCCCTCCGCCCGCGCCCCGGTCCCGCGCCCGCCGTTCCGGCGCACGAAGGTTCCGCGCGCCGCCCCGCCCCGTCGTTGCCGCCCGGCAGGGGGCGGGCTGTGCGAGGCGCGCGGAACGCCGCGCTCGGGGGCGCTGTTTCCCGCCGGGCCGCTGAGGCGGGGGCCGGTTCCGGCCGTGCCGGATCGCCGGCGGGCCCGGCCGGAGCGGGCTGTGCGCGCCCTCCGCCCGCCGGCCGCGAGCGCCGCGGGCCGCGCCGCCAGCCCGGGCCGCCAGCCCGGGGGCCCGAGGGCGGGGGCCGGCGGGGGCCCCCGGCGGGAACAATGAAGCTGCTGAAGCCGACCTGGGTCAACCACAATGGTGAGGCCGGGCAGGTGCGGCGGGGAGCGGGGCCGCGGCGCTCGCGGGGTCCCGGGCCGGGCCTCGGGCCGCCCCCTGGCCGGGCCCGGAGCCCCGGCGGGCCCGGAGCGGCCGCAACAAGTGCCGGTGTGTCCCGGAGCGGGGCCGGGGCTCTGGGGCGGGGCGGAGGGGCCGTGCCGGGGCAGCCCCCGGGCCCGTCCCGCCGCGCACGGCGTGTGCGCGGGGCGCAGCCCGGCCAGCGGCGCCCGGGCCGGGCGGGGACGGCTGCGGGGCTCGGGGGGAGCGGGAGCCGCTCCCGCCGCCCGGGCAGCTCCGTACCTGAGACAGCGCAGAAGGTGTTCGAGTGCAGGGCGGTCGGCGCTGTCGGTGCCCCGCGGGGTGAGCGGTGTCCGGAGCACAGCACTGACCGCGCTGCTCTCACTGCGCAAGGTTCACTGTCGGAGTCCCCACATGCACTGAGCTGTCGGTCTCCGTGGGCGAAAAGGTTTCTCCCAGCAGTACTTTCAAAACAACTCCCTGAATTTCTATACTCTCCTGTCTGCCAGTCCTCTGGGGGTTTTGTAGAGATCTGTGAGCTCAAACGCTTTGAGAGTGAAGTGTTGGTATTGACAGAAGGCTCTGTGCTTCCCTAGTGTGGCAAACACGGGGTAGCATCAGTGTTATGTACTTACACTGCTTAGGATGAGTTTCCAGGTTAATACCTGTACTGCTCCTGGTGAGGCAGTGAGAAGAAATCTAACGTGAAGAGCTCACTTGAGTTTGTTTAAGTTTTGTCCTCAGAGCCTGGATACAGCCTCATTTCCACTGTTAATGTCTAAATGTCATTAGATGGACTCACGTAGTTGACTGGGATCTAGAATAAGACTAAGGTGGAGACCAGCTTATTCAAGCTGGAAAAGCATGCTTTGAGTTAAAAACCACAGACACAACTTTACAGCTGCCTTTCTGCACGTGTTTGTGTCTGTGCTGTGTTTGTATCCGTGCTGCAGGTTTTGTAACAGTCACTCAAGCCTCGAGTTGCTGTTCACCTGCATCTTTACTTGGCCTGCTCTCCAGGGATTGTGTAGGCAGCAGATGGACCCAGCCTTGTAACCAAAGGTTGTAGTGAAGTGAAAAATTGTGGAAATACTTTTTTTGAGTTGTTTTGTACATTTCTGCTTGGTTGATCTAAACAAATGTAGCATTTACATCTTAATCTCTGGCTGCCCGTGGGCAGAATGTCCTGTGCCTCTGTTTATCTTCAGTGGGAGCACACTTAGGAGCAGCTGAATAAAAACTTTCAGCCTAAATCTAATCTAAGGGATTAGATCTGTGACTTCTTTCCTTATTTCTTTAAAGGGTGCACCTTTTGATATGGGCGTGTCTTTGAAATCTGTAGCGATTTAGAACACATCCAGCCACTGCAGAAAACAGGCTTCAGCCAAGCGATTTGCAGCAGGGGCTCCTTTGGAGAGCTCTGGGATCCTCTGCCTGGTGGATATTGCACCACGCAGGGCCTCGATAGTCCCACATTTTATTCTCATTTCTGCTGCTGACCTGCTGGGATGAGTTTGGCCGAGTCACTTTGTCATAGTTTCACCTCCTGCAGAAGAGACATTTGGCAGCAGCTCCATCTGTAAAGTGCTGTCAGTGGTGCCAGGGGTGCAGGACTGTGTGACATTCCCACACTGCTGTCCCTGGGGTGGGGAGTGCAGGATATAACCGGGGAGTTTAGTCAGCCCCTTTAACACCCCAGGGTTCCAGATCCTCCAGGCATCCTGCATGCAGGGAGTCTGTGTCACTCCTCTTGGGCCTCCCCTTGGCTCTGGAACCTCTCCAGAGCAGGGTCAGGAGAGTTTTCACTGTGTGTGCTGGAGACTGATCATTTCTGTTCCCTCGATCCCTGCACAGGCACACGGGGCTGTTCACTGCTGTTGGAGCAAGGCTGGCTCTTCCACACTCCAGACCCAGCTGCCATCATTCCAGCCTTGCCCTCTCCTCACTCAGCTTTGGGATTTTTCCTTTCCTGACTGGACTAGAATGAGTGTGATGATGCTCACGGGCACACACTCCACAGGCACTGGAAGGCAGTGTTGGAGCTGGGATGTTCAGCACACCTGGGAATTGTGGGCCATTTATTTATGGTAAAAACACATTTGGGCTCTGCAGGTTTTTGTCTTAGAGTTCTTAATGTCATTTATCTGAATACTTATTGGAAATGTTTCTTCTTCAGATGCATCTTCTGTAAGCTTGTCACGCCCTTAGTGTGGGTTTATTAGACATTGCATGAAATTCTCATTATTGTTGTGTTCTCTTCCATATTTCTTTGGCTTAGAGCAAGGTAGAATATTCAAAGTGCAATCTAATGGGGGGGCAGGAACAGATGA